TCGTCGAATTTAAGGATATGAATATGAATATGAGTCTGAACCAAAGATCGAAAAGAGCGAGTCAAGTGAAAAGAACGCGTGCAGACAGACCTATGCACTTCCGCTTTGTGCATAGACTCAAAGCCGCGTGTAGTACATGGGAGAAATGGTGGTGGAAGTTTACGTGCACCTTGTAAACAGCATATTTTCTGACTCACTAAATGTAACGCGACGCTTGTATTTAGAATTCAGGATGCGGCCTTCTACCATCCTTCCACCACCCTTTTTTCGATCCCCTTTCCACGATGCATCGAATTACCCTGAGTTGAAACGGGGAGGAGAAGTCCTCCCAGAGGGAGGATCGGGAAGATCGAGACCCACGTACGAGACGCCTCGAGATAAAATTTGCAAGGTATTGGCCGGCCATGCTGTGGATACCTATTTGTGTATTGTAGTGTTTGGACTTCCTTGATTACGATTATGCGTTAATGGATTGTTATGTGAATTTTTTAAATAAGAATTATGTGAAGAATTGTGCACACGATAGATATTAATTTTCGAAATGAATGTTATGTGTATATATTCGTTTATATGGGGTGATAAGATATTCGTCTGGAGAGTTGATTCTAGAGATGAAGAGAATTAATTAATTTATAAGAGAAATAATGTTATTATTATTATATTTATTATATTATATGTTTGGAATGTATTCAGATTCACAAAAAACCATTCAACTTTAATAAACAGCAAGTCAATATCTATACTTTAAATCCGATGATCAAGTCAAACTAATAATTGATTTCCTAGACAATCTAATATTTCATAGACAACAAAGATTCCGTATATACTTATCTCTTATATTACTATCTCTTACTGCTGTATTACGGCAGTTAATAGAGAATCTCGATTATAGATACATATTGCGATAGAAGGAGAAAAAGGAAAAAGATAAAAGCGGGAAAGCGTTCGTCTAAATCGTATTGCCAGGCACGTTAGCAAGTATTTCCAGTATTCACGGAAGGAACGATCGTAGCGAAGAAGAAAAGTACTTTAGCGTGTTGTAATCTGAAACTGTGGAAATGAAAGCGTTGTGGGGATGGGCCTTTATGATACGGCAGAGGAGCTTCTGCAGTCATCAAGCATGGCCGCCGTTTGTCGTTTTCACATGAGGAAAAATGCGCGCACGAGCACGTGGATACCGCTCGAGAAAATCCATTTCCTTCGTTTCTTTGAATAAAGAAATAAAAAGTTTGTGTTTCAAGTTTTAATCGGCCGAAAAAAATGAAAAGTATTCCAAATGGGGAATATTCTCGATATTCTCGAAGATATTCTCGGATTAAACACTGACTTGATGAAACAATATCGTACTCTTCGAAATGAAAAGAAATCCATAGAAATCTGTCAACTGTTAAAATACTTATTTATTGAATAAAAAAGTGGAAGAGTTTCGACTTCTAGTTTTCATTAATCAATAGGGCAACCTATCTCGTTCGCATGCTCTTCAGGTTAAACAATTTCGGCGGAATTGTGTCTCATCCATCCATAAAGTTTCCAGATCCAGTTTCTAGCTGAACTGAAGAGACCTCCCAGATAACAGTCTGTTCATAGAGGGTGTCGTCGTTGTCGTCGTCGTCGTCGTCGTCGTCGTCGTCATAGATGCGGCGAAACGAGACTTCTACCTTCTTTCGTCCCACGTGCAACTTCCGCCCAGAAAAAAAAAACTCAAGTTCGTGTAGGTGGCGACCGAATGGAAGGCAGCTTCTGAAGATTGCAAAGGCAATTTCCGCCGACAATGTGGTCCACTTTATTCCACGCATGGTGCGTACCCTCACTCTCGCCACTCGAGGGTCGAGAGGCAGAAAGACGAAGGGAGTTCAGCCTCTTTTATTTTTCGGATATGCCCTTCGTCCTGCAAAAGAGGAGCCTCTTGTGCTGCCAAGGAAAGGGATCGAGGGGATTGAAGAGGTCGAATGGGGAATAAGAAAAAGAAGTGACGTGTGTTAAACGAGTCACGTTGTTTTAAGGGGTAGTTTTTGCATCGTTTTTGTAGTTTTTTGTAAATTTTAAAAATATTTTTTTAAACCTAAAAAAGAAATCGGATTTTTTAATTTAAAGTTGGTCGAAAATATATGTGATTCAATATCTTTTGGAATTGATCTCTATCGTTCTGTCAAACGTTTATTTCAATACTCGGATATCTGTTTATTTTATGTTCAATGATAAATAAGAGTTTTGAATGATATCTCCTCGATTTAAAGGTTTTTTCTGATTTCCTCTCTTCCTTTCTCTCCCTTTCATTTTAACGATAATAATCTCAATTACTAATCTCAATTTATATGATGATAAATAATTTTTTTTTTGCTATGAATGAAATTAATGGGTTGTAAAGTTTTATGATTAATTAATTAACGAAAGATTTGCAAAAACAATTATTAAAAATTTTGTTAGATATTAAAAATTTTCTTCCTATTGTTCCTTTTAGATTTATTATATTTAAAGCTTCAATTTTACTTTTAATTAATCGTATATTTTATCATCATGGAATTTTATCAATATAACATATTTCTGTCTTCAAATTTTTTAAATTTCTTTCAATTCGTAATATCCCAAGTTTTACAATATACTATTTTTGCAATAGTTTTACAATAAATTATAATGATAACTCTGGAATTAATCGAATCCTACAAAATGAATATTTCCTATTAGATTTCACTTACATTTGTACTGTATACATATTAAATTTCAAATTAAAATTCTTTTCTTTTTTATAAATATCTTTAATGTGGTACAATCTCATATCATCACCATACGAATCCTGTACAGATTCGTTAAATTTTCAATTCCTATGAGAACAATAATTAACATTCAAAAAAAAAAAAAAAAAAGATTGGTGGTCAAGCTTTAAGGACCTTATTTGAAATTAATGCACACAATTTTCAATCAACTGTGTTATCCATTTGCCATTTATTCGCAAAAATCTTCTCCGTCCGTTTTCTTAGTCGGATTTTGTCAGTCGACACGACATTTCAAAATAGATACTAGGCCTCGTTTATGCAATACCTGTCATTTGTAAAAAATATAGATAAGTATATATAATTATAGTACTTGCAATTGTGGTATAATCGTGTCGGGAATATTGAAACACATGCATAAGGGATACATGTCAGAGACAAGAGTCATAGTTTCTCGAGACACGGTGCTTTAGAGGAAAAAAAATATATAATACGAAAGTAACATATTAACAGAGTTGTAATAGTATTCGCGATTTTTAAAATTTATATAAATCTCGTATATATATCCGGGATATTTATATATATCCTGTTTGATAAAAAAAATTAAATATCTTCTATGCTGTCTAAAAATTTAAATATAAAAACAATATGCGATGATATTAATTGTTTAGAGGAAAAAAATAAAATATGTATAGATATGTATAGATATATTTACAATATTTACAATATTAAATAAAAATTGGATCAAATGGATTTTATTAAAATTTTTAATTGAAAGATTAGGTAAAAAATAACAGAACAAGATGTTCAGTAATGTAGATGAAAGAGAATATTGGAAGAAAAACAGAAATAGAGTGAAAATGTGAAAATCAGCACCATCTTTAGAATGCTCCAGAATTTAAAGGTATAATATAAATAAGGAGAACTAATAATAAGAAAAGAATAAATATAAAATAAGAATTATCTATCAGCGCTATCTTTTGAGTGCTAATAACATCTCTTTTAAGGTAGAAGAGTAAAATTGTTGATCAGCGCCATCTCTTGAGTATGAAATATATTTCTTTTAAACAAAGTAGAACAAGAACTGAATATGATCGCCATCTTTTATATGTTTTTAAAAAAATGTTTTTTGGAATCAAGAGATGGCGCTAATTATTAATTTTTTACTCTATTTTCATCTTTTTTCTATTATTTCCTTTCCTTCTTTATAGTAATTATTCCTTTCCTTCATATATTCTACAGTAACGGAAATGGCGTTTATTTCGCAATTTTTAATCTATTTTTATTTTTCTTCTATTATTCGCTTTTCTATGTTTGATTCTTGAAATGATGTGATCAGAAACGAAGTACAAGATATTGAAAACAATTATTTTTTTTTTTTTCAAAATTATATCTAAATTTTTAATGTAAAAAAATATAGGTAATATATTTTTTACTTTATAATGTATCTTTAGAATAATTTCATGAAATATAATATATAATATATTTATATATAATTTATAATATATAATATATAATATATTTAAAAATGTAAAAATTAAAAATATTCATTCATTATCGATTCAATGTAGTTAATGAACCCGTAAAAAAATCAACAGTTTTTTTCTTTACAATATGTACAAAAATATATGAATTACAAATAAAATATAGTTTTGAAAAAAAAATAATGAAACATATAAATTACAAATATTATAAATACAATTTTAAATATACAAAACTAAATTTTTAAATAAAATAGAATATAGAATAGAACTATGTATGTGTGTGTGTGCGCGCGCGCGTTACATTTATGTAAGGGTTTTATGTATCTTCTAATAAATTATTATTAAATTTGAAATATCTAATTCTATTTTAATAAAACATGTATAACAAACAAAAGTTCAGTTTAATTAGCTTTTTATATAAGAAAAATATAAATACTTTATTATATATACAATATACAATATAATAAATATAATTATATATAAAATATAATTTTATAAATAGAAAAGTATTTTTTCTGTTACCTAAAATAATATGTTCGTCGATATCTTTGTACATCTCTTTTATATTCTTATATTTATCTAATATTTTAATTAATATAATTGCACTTCCTATTATCTTTAATATATATATATATATATATATATATATATATAATAAAATATTATTAATAAAAAAATATCGTATGAATATTATTTCTTAGATTATTATAAATTTTTTTTCATTATTTATCCATTTTTATTAGAAAAGTATATTTTTAAATAATAATATTAAAAATTTGAACATTTTCTTATTATTTTTATTATTCTTTATTTCTCACATATTCTTCAATATATTTTTTGAAAGCAGATGATAATTTTATTGTCTTTTCCATATGTTCAAATAAAACTGTTAATATTTCACATATTTTTTTTTGTGTTTGTTCGTTATTACTAAGAAGTTCTGAACTAAATTGTATCAAACTTTCTTTTATATAGCACCATATAAAATGAACTGCATCTGATAAATATTTTGAACAAAATTGAGATTTTGTTATTAAAGTAAAAGATATTTGAAATATTAGAATAAAAATATTTGGAGCATTATTCATATATTTTATATCATTTAAAATATCATTAAATTCAGATTCATAATCTTCTCTATTATTATCATCTAAAAACACATTTTTTAATAAAGTTAAAAGCAAATCTTTTAATATGAAGAACATATCTTTGCTACTATTATTTTCTTTATTAAATGAAAACTTCTTCTCACTTGAAAATTGATCATCCTTAATTAATATTTCTACAAATCTCATTGGATCTAAGAAACGAATGCCGCAAATTATCAATTTCCCATCTTCAAAACATATAGTGCTTTTTTGAATGGGAATATTACTCAAATTATTTTTTAATTGTAAATCTATCTTTCTATTGACATAACGTATTACTTCAGCATTTTCGGATATTATATCTGTATTGTTTGCAGCAGCATTACGTTTTGTACGATTAAATTGTTTACGAAGATGTTTAGAACGTAATGTAGATCTATATTCATCTAAAATTTTACCTTGAGTAGATTTAATGAGATCTTCTGCAAACTGTAAATTTATAACTGAATTACCAAAGAATAATAAATGAGTTGACAGAGATACCACATCTAATATATGAATTTGACCTTCTTCTTGATATTTTTGATACATACAATATGCCTGATATCCTACACCAAAACTATTAATACCTAAATTACTTAAAACTAATGCATTGTATGCAACTTTAACTGCATTGCTTATATCACTACCATTTTTTATAAGTTTAGTAAGAATAATATTTCCACTATTGCTTATTAAACCAATTGAACCACCAACTATAGTTAACCATGAACAAAAGGAATCCCTATTTGTTAATCCTATACTTTGTTCATGAGAACTTCTATCTATTAAATTCTGTATTGATCTACCAGCTGCCCATATACCACTTATACTAGAAGTTACTGTTGCACCTGTAATTGTAATAATTATTATGATCTTATTTATTTTGTTATAATTGTTATATTTTAAAACAGCAAAAATTATTTTGTGTATTATATTGTCATATTTTAAAATAGCAAAAATTAGTTTTGAAACAATATAATTTTTATATTTATATTTATATAATTTTTATATTGTATTATATTATTGTATATTTTTTTTAGTTATACGTAATTTTATCTAACTTACCTACTACAACCATTCCAATAGGTGTAAAAATAGATGCTACACCCAAACAAAGTCCACATGTGCCAAATAGCGTAGAAGTTATATCTCCATATTTAAAAATGGTTGCTTGTGTACTACATGCAGGTGAATCCAAAATTTCCAACCATACTGTTGAATATTCTTCAGTAATTTCATAACTTGGATCAGGATGATAGAATCCATCTTTTGGAAGAACCATTGTACATTGTGGTAAAGTATTTTTTTCTATATAATCTATCCAACTTTTATATACTCTACCATTTTGGTCAATATACCATGTTTCTTCTTTTGTACAAGTTTCACTTAAATATTTTATTTTAAAAATTGGTGTTGAATATATCTGTATTTTATCTTCCACTCCAGAATCAGTTACTTTTTCTTGTTTTGAATTAGATACTTCAGTCACATTATTTTTAATATTATTTTTAGTACAAAATGATATATTGTAAATTATTCCATAATATATTGAGTCTACCTCTATACATCCTTTACCATGTGTACATATTTGCTCATAAACAATATTTATAATTTTTTCTGCATCAGATTTGTAACAAAGGGTTTCAGTAATATCCTTTATTTGTTTCTTTTCTCCTATTTTTTCATCTTCAATGTATACATTTTTATTTTCTTCATTCTCTGATGGGAGACCAAAAAGTGCATATGCAATATTTTGTTTTAAATATTTATATTCATTTATAGTATATTTTGTCCATTCTGGTAAAAGTTCATAATATTCTTGTTGTTGTAATTTTGCAATTTTTAACATTTCATTCTATAAAAATATAAAATACAGTTAATTACAATTATAATTAATTAGGATGCAAAGAAAAAAATTAAAATTTCATTTATATATAATAATTGATATTTACCCAATCAGCATCTTGATCAGCAATTGACATTTTATTTTTTTATTTAAGTATAAAATTTTTCCAAAATTATTTAAAAATTTTTTTACCTATAAATATTCATAATACAGTAATAGATTTAATTAAAATATATTAAAATAAGAGAACCATTTTTATAATTTCTCAAATATTATTTTTCTTTTATATTTTATACTTTTTATGAAAAAAAAAATAAAACAAACTGAATGAATATTTACCTTTTAATTATTTAATAACAAAAATATTATATTAATGCACTTATTAAATTGCACAGTATTAAATTATTGGAATAATACTATATTTATCAATCAAACACTATATTAAGAATGAATAATAAATGCACAGCCATATAAATATATAGTCCTCTGTGAATAATGGTAATCTTTCTGGGATTCCCATATATTTTTAAAATTTTATATATATATATATATACACATTATTTAATCAGATATTGCGTTGCAAAAATTTCACATTATAAAAATAGAATAAAAAACTTAGTGATACAGCTAGCCAATTTGAAAACTAAAATTCCTCTAAAAATTAGTTAATTAATAATTGTTAAATAGCAAATATAAATATATTCACACTTTTTATATATAGAAATCAAATATGAAAATTTCTATATTTTTTTTAACAACGGAACTTTTACACTGCTATTTTTATAATTCTTAATTTAAATTAAGAATTTGAACTTTCAACAATAATTTTGTATTTGACAATTTTTAATTTTTGTAATAAGAACATGAAGTGATTATAAATATTATAATTAGAAAAATAAACCTCTTGAAAAAAATAAATTTACCTTGCACAAGCGTAAAATAATCTTGAAAATAAAAAAAATAAAAAATATGAAAAACTTATTGTCTTTATCTCGAATGTGTTTTAGTTAGTCAACTTAAAAAAATAAAATTTATCTATATATTATTAACAAATTTCTTTTTACATATGATATTCATTGTAATACTAAAAATAAAATTTCCTCAAAAACAATATGATTTATATTTATATATATGATTATTGAATATATGATTTATATTTATATATGTAATATTTTATATATAATATATAAATATTATATATTTAAACTTGCCATTAGACAGCATGCGCATACGATTATTTATTAAAATAATTATAAATATATCTTTTCTATTTGATATCTTACTATTTAAAATAAAAATAAATAGCAATATAAAATAATGTAAAATAAAATAAATAATAAATATAAAGTATTTTATATAAAAACAGCGAAATATCTTTTAATAAAAAATATTATGAAAAAAATATTTTTACGAAAATTATTTGATATGTATAAAGATATATTATGAACATTTTTTTTGTAGATGATCACAAAGCAATTATATAAAAATAAAATTAATGGAATCATATAATTTTTAATGCACTCGATTCAAATTTCATAAACTAGTTGATCATTATTTTCTATAAAAAAATATTAAGCTATTTAAGTTTTGATTCGAAAATTTACTAGTCTAGGAAATATTATAATATGAAGTTTGTAATACTTATTATATAAAAGACAAGAAGAGCAGTAGAGTACCGCTTGATGTTTTCCATATACAATAAATTTTATATACAACAAATTTCTAATTATAATATAATAGATTATTTTAAACTAATAATTTTTCAACATAAATAGTTTAATATTTTTTTTGTTTAAAATAATAAACTGCATCAATTAATGTATTAATAAAGAAATTATATGATTTTATTAAAAAAATTAAGATTAATCTTTACATAACATTTCTGCATTCATTTAAATATAATAAAAAAAAATATATAATATATGTTTTTATATTAAATAATTTTTGTATATGAATATTTTTTATGCATTTTTCTTTAAAAGATTAAAAGATATTTTATTTTAAATAAAACATCTTGTATGAAATAATATGAATGCATCATATATAAAAAAATTAGAAATATTGAAAAGTTTTATAATAAATGAAACTGTTAATCTAAAGAGGAAACTTTAATATTGTAAAAGTAAATATTAACGAAAAGTTATTTTATAATAAATTTATTATGCAATTATATTTTTAAAAATAATCATTAATTATAAAAATCATAATTATACAAAATTTAGTATATTATATTTTATAATATAAAAATTTATAATTGTAAAAGATAATTTAGAATTATCAAAAATAAATTGCAATCAAATTTAAATGAAGAAAAAAATAAAAATTAAATTTATTTTATTTATATGATAATTTAATAATATTATAAGTAATATTTTATATCTTCAATTTTTTTTAATGCATAAATAAAAAAATACTTTCATTGCTATAAAAATTATATATATATTATATTATTAATTATATTAATTTTTAATTAATTATTATTAATTTTATATATTTATATTTCAATATTATATAATCAAGCTTTGTTTTTTACATGATATATTTACGTAAAATGGTAGAAATATAAGCGCCTGTTACAATAATAAAATAAAAATGAGATTATAAGATTATAGATTTTATAAGATCATATAAGATAATAGATTTTTTTAGCATCGATATTATTTAATTTTTTATTTAACATTTTTACTCAGAATTTTATCAGAAATTTTTTTATATTATATTTATTGTAATTAAAAAAAATTAGTTATTTTCATTAATTAATTTATATTCATAAAATATTTATAAAAATATAAAATTTTCGTATATAAAATTCTCTAATCTTAAATTTCTATAATATAGTTCATCCATGTTCGTAATACTGGATCTCTAAACACTGTGCTTGTGCGCCAACTAGCGACAAGAATCAACACTACTTTTTCTGCCGAATCGATATTCTGCTCAAATATTGACTTCGCGATTGTGCGTGGTGTCGCAAGCGAGTCGTGCAGTAGACGGCGATGCTCTTTTAAAAAGCGAGTTCTTGCGAGTGATAAGTCAAGTGCTGTCGATTGAAGAATTGGTAATCGGAATATCCTGGAAACAGGAAATAAAGAAGATGTTACTAGCGGCTAGTGCTGTGTTTTTTGGATTGACCCTCGGTCTCTCCCACGCGAGTAACTCAGCACTCGAGTCGACACCGAGCTCTTTCAACAATCATGGAGGTGATTTCATTTCTCTTTTCTCATGCCCTACATTCATTTAATTTCCTTAATTATTGTTTCTTTTTTCTAAAAAATTGCGCGTAGCAAATTAATTTTATATCTTTTATCGAATTACACATCACTTAATTATATATCGTTTATCGAATAGTAACTCGCAGGTGCAATTGTTCTTTCGAAAGCACCTGCAGTCACTGAAACTGTTATGGCGAATTCATTGACTTGTTCCGATCGGTGTTACGATAGATGTATAAAATTGCATCGGATAAGAAATGATATTACAAATAAAACTTTGGTAAATATGAGCGAATTATATGTTATGATTGCGCTTATGATAGGATTAGTCATGCTTTACGATAACAAAAGAGATGTGAATCAGATTAGATTTACTCGCGTCGAAAACTTGGACTCTATTAAAAGTTACAAGAATGAAGTGACATTTTATGACGCTATCAGATATATATCGCTAGAAATTTCATGTTATTTTCTAATTTTTTTAAATGATATAATATTTTGAGATAAGATTAATTACTAAATATTTATATAAAAAATGAATTATAAAAAATTCGCAAATGAACTATTTTTTTTAATATTGGAAATCATCTTGATATATATGATATATATATGTATTTTTTTATATTTAATTAAATATTATTTATGATTTTACTATTTATAAATATATATTAATATATTATTTTATCTAAGTTTCTTAAAAATATTTTATTTTCTACATTATAATTAGCATTTGTATGAAAATAATTGTTAAAGAATTTTCCAATATATAATTACGAATTATATTTTATATATTAATTTTTATAAGATAAAAAATATATATATATATAAAAAAAATATATAAAATTATAAATTTAATTAATTAATATAAGTTATATTATTAATATAATATTTATATTTTGTATCATCATAAGCAAAATTATTTTAATTATTTTAATGTATTATAAAATAATCATTGTGACACAAAGTATTGCTTCAAGATTCAACGTTACAATGATTGTAATATATATACTACTATATTATATATAATAATTATACTATATAATTATATAAACTTATATATATAATAATTATATATAAACTACTTTTTTTTATTGATATTTAAAATATTTTGCATAACAATGCAAAGTATGAATGAACTATGTGTGATAGTGTTCGATAAAGCATTATGGTTTACATATATCTATATGTATACCTATGTTTTTCTTTTTTATGTCTTTTTCTTTAATCAATTTCGATGTGTTTTGATTTATAATCACGTCTATATTCGATAATAACTAAAAATTCGACCAGTTTCGTCTGTATCTCAAATTATGTGATATATCTCGCTTTTATAAAGATTGTTTTTCAATTCAAAGCAGAATAAAATCTCATTTGAAATAAAATTGAATCAAAACGTTTTTCGAAACGGACAACGATGAATCGAACGTTTGTATTGATTTATCTCGACTTATATGTAATAACTTCAATCGATAATAACAATTTTATTATTGATCATTGTTCAGTTTGAAGAAAAATTTTAGATATAATAATTTACAATGTATATTTATATATCTATATAACTATTTAATTACGAATATATTTAATATATGATTATATAATTTTTTTTATTTTTTTTTCGATATTTTGAAATTATTTTCGATAATTTGAAAAAAAAAATATTTTTAACAAAAATTAGTTAGCATATAATTAGTAATAAAATATAAAATTAAAAAATAATTAAAATACATTTTTTAATAAATTAGGTCGTCTGTATATTTTTAAATAATTTAATTCAGATAAATTAATTTTTTTATCTGCTATGAATATTAATTATATTAACATTATAATTTTATTATATTTAAAGAATATATTTTCTCTAATTACAATTTTATGTTAAGAAATTCAAAATTTCTTTTCAAAGAGGGCGCATGATTGAATTTAAAATATCTTGGAAACTTTAGAAGTTTCTTAACTATATCAAATTTAGCTGTTGTAAAAGCTTTTCAAATAAAGTTAATTCATAAATTAAATTTCATAGAATTCTTTCTTTGATTTTCGTACCAATTGATTATATTGGATTATTATTATATGCTGAAAATCTATATTGCATTATATATTAATTGAAAATTATTTTACAAGTTTAGAAGAAAAAATAAAGTTTTAAAACAAATATCATTTGTTTCTTTAGAATTTTATGAAAATATAAAATTTATAAATATTAAATTTATAAATTCAATTAAATGATTAATCAAAATAACTTTCCAAAGAAATAATATATTAATCAAATATTATTTTATCGCAAAATATCTTATAAACATCACTCAGATTGAAGGTTC